GAACAGGCAAATATATAGAGACAAAGTTTACTAGTGGTTACCAGGGATGGATGGTAAGGGGGAACAGGAAGTTAATTGCTTAAGGGGGCTTCAGTTTGGTTAAGGTTGAGGAAAAGATTTGGAAATAGATAATATTACAGTTCTACAACATGGTGAAATAATGGCCCTGAATTATACATTTAAAAAATGTTTGAAATGGAAAATATTTTGTTACATATCTTATTACCATAAGGGGAAGAAAGATACTGAAGAATGTAATGTGAAAATTGAGATTCCTTTGTGACTCCTTTCACCTCCATTGTTTGGTAAATGCTCCCAGAAATACTGCATGTATATAGGTCGATATGAGTCTGGTCTGACTTGATGGCACATAACAACATAGTGTGTTTATACATTTTAACCCACAAATAAAATCACACACCTCAGTGGCTTACAACTAATATTTCTTGCTTATATGTGGGAGTTCTGGTAGCATAGTGCCTAAGGCACTTGACTTTTAACCAGAAGCCTGGCGGTTCAAACCCACCAGCCACTCCTCAGGAGGAAGATGTGGCAATCTACTTCCTAGTAATACTGCCTCAGTAACCCAAGGATGGGTCGCTATGAGTTTGGTCCGACTGGACGGCACATAACAACAGCAACACAACAATATGTTGGCCGTTAGACCTGCTGATCATCTGCAGCAATATCACAAACTTTGTTGTGCTTGGCTTGTCTCACAGTCTTCTCACTTCAGGACTCATGCTGAGGGAGCAGCCCCTATCTGTAGAATGCTATTCTCAGTCATGGTTGTTGTTGTTATGTGCCATTGAGTCGGACCTGACTCATAGCGCCCTGACCCCTCCTTGGGTTTCCAAGGCAGTATCACTATGGAAGTAGATTTCCCCACCAAAAAGACACATTTAAAAGCCCTACATGGTTGGTGGTATACTTAATGCCCCCTTATGTTCCGTTGGCCAAAGCAAGTAATGTGACCAGGACCAAAGTCAGCAATTAACAGACATTTGAGAAAAGCTTCTCATATTAAATACACACACACACACACAAAAAAAAAAATACAACCAAAAACAATAAATATAATAGAAACTTGGAAAAAACAAAGACAAGTTTTTCAAAAGTTTTAAAAAAACTAAAAGCTGATTACTCGCCTTAGAGAGTTAAGAGAACATACTGCATTCATGAAACAAGAGCAGGACAGGGTGCCATCAGAAAGGAAGAATCAGAACAAGAAAGCACTGGGAAATTATAATACAACATAAATCAAAAGCCCAAGAGAAGTTTTGGAAGATGGAATCAGGGAATCTTCCAAATAGTAAGAAAAACAAAAAGATGGAAAACAGAAGATATAAATAGTTTTCAGAATCAATCCAGCAGACCCAACTTGTATCTAGTGAAAGAGAAATGGAAAGAGGGAATTATTAAAGATAAAAACAACAAAGCTTGGGCAATGTACTTCTATAGACATACCACCTTGGAAACCCAAGAAGGGGTCGCTGTGAGTTGGAACCGACTGGTCGACAGTGAGTTTGGTTTTTCGATTTTTTGGTCTCTGAAGTGGTGGGTAAGGAACCTTCTGATTGAAAAATTCCACCACTGGCAGGAACTAACTCAATAAATGTAAGAAATCTCCCACCAAAGTGCATAGTTATTTAATTTCAGAATTTTGAGGGATTAAAAAATGAGGCTCTTAAAGAGTCTCCCCACCTAGAGTGGGGAGAAGGGGAGGCTAAGGAGGGAGGGCTCAAAGTTGGAGGATCAGTATGACACTAGGACAGTGGAAGCTGGGCTTTAAAGAATCCATTCTTTCAAAATTCTGGGTGAAACTAATTTTCAACCTAGAATTCTGTGCTTCGCCAAACTATGAATTTCAGTGTGAGGATAAAAAATATTTTCAAATTTGTAAAGTGGTAGAAAATTTAATTTTGTAAAATATGTGGGAGTAAGGAATGTAATTTATCTAAAACTTCACTCTTTATGTTGTTGCTATGTGCCCTCAAAAGTCGGACCCACTCATAGCTACCCCTCCTTGGGTTTCCCAGGCGGTATCACCATGTGCAAGTAAATTGCCCAACCTTCTTTGGAGGAGTGGCTGGTGGGTGTGAACCACAAGCCTTCTGGTTAGCAATCAAGTGCCTTAGGCACTATGCTACCAGAGCTCTTAAGTGTCCTGTAGAGAATGGCATTTATATGGAGAAACACTAGCAGGTGTTAAAGTTTAGAAGAGTGAAAAACAGGAAGGTCTTAAGAAAAGGGGACACAAAGACAAAGACTTTTACTCCCTTGTCATATAAATTTATCTTTAATTTTATAGTGCTTAATAGGCTCAGTAAATTGCTTGTTAAAGCATTTCAAGATCTACTCCAGGTTTTACAACAATTTTACTGTCCTAAGCTTTTAAACATTGAAGATTTTGGTGGAAGTCCCAATTTTTCAATTGTTTTATTTGTGAATTAGCTTGGTGTGTGTTTTAGAAAGATAATCACCCTAAACAGATACATATTACATCCTTTGGAATGTTGGAATAAGGTATATATTTTGAGGAAGCAGTGACAGTTGTGTATGTGAATAGATACAGAATTATAGACAAATTGGCAATAAACTCTTTAATGTGGTATAAATTTGATCATTGAAATTTATTAAAAAGTCTCATCTCTCCTGTTCCTCCTAAAATTCTTATATATTAGTAATAAATACTTTGTAATTAGTATTGTATAATATGACACAATAAAATATTAATGATTTTTAAAACTTAACTTGTGTTTTGTTTGAATTTCAGGTAATAACCCTTCCCAATACTTAGTATTTTGTTTAGTATGCCACTTTTTGGAAGTGGTCACTGTCAATATCTTGTTATGGTTTGATGGCCTTGGAGATTTAAAACCGAGTAAAAGTGTAAGCAGCCTTTCTTACTTAGTTATGAGTTTTACACCCACTTTTATTCCAAATAGAAAAAATTAAAAGTAGATTTACTTAAAAGTATAAGACTATGTACCATATGGGAGCTCTGGTAGCATAGTGGCTAAGACGCTTGCCTGCTAACCAGACGGCTGGCGGTTCAA